GTTTGGACAAATTGAATTTGTAATGTCTCAACTGTTCATCCCTAATTTAGAAGTCATTTTCTTCTCATGTAACAACATTATGAATTTGTTGAGAAGTTGTGGAGCTTCTTTTGATATCCCCTTATATATTAATTCAGAACGCGCTGAGCCTATGTGGCTGTTTCTGGTGCTTCAGAATCCTATTTGGCAAAATTACATGCTTCGTTATTAGCGCTGAACCTACGTGGCTGCTTCTGGTGCTTCGGAATCCTATGTGGCAAAATTACATGCTTCGTTATTAGGCTTAGGTAAATTTTAATTTAATTTCAAACCAAAAATAATTAGGTTCGGATTACCATAAATATGTTGATTATTTATGGTCATGTTAATATATTAATTGCATTTTAATATCATTCCTTATTATAACTATTGAATTGTATATATATTTTAAAAGTTAATAACTTTTATATTTTTGTATCAGTTTTAAATATGTAATATATCAAATTAATCTTCTTTTGATGAGCTTCGGTTTAACATCCATATTGTATGTATAAAAAAATAATTTATATTTATCTTTATAACAATAATAAAATTATTTTTAATATTAATTAGAAAAATAAAATTATTTATCAAAACTAATATAATATAACACATGTAAGACATAAGTAACACATATCATTCTAAAATATATAATAATATAATTTTTTAGTAAAAAAATAAACTAAATTTAATATAGTTTTTTCCATTAATTTTAAAATTAAACATTATTTTTTAACAAGCATCCGTGTAATACACGGGTGTTGTACTAATTCTTTTTAAGGTTAAAAGAAAAGAAAATTGGTCCAAGAAATAAAAAAAGTAGTTTAAAACAAGATTGTATTTGAGAGTGCTTGGCATAAAGTCCTACCCACTAGTTTCTAGGAGACTCAAGAAAATGTAAGAGTTAACTCACTTGTTAAGATTGGGTGAATTTCACCAAGTGTTCAATTTTAAATCGTTGGATCAACATGCACCAAACGCAAATGTGCGAATGTGTAATCCGATGGTTGGGAGCCCAATATAGGAGTTAACTCACCTTGTGTGAATTTCACCGTGTGCAATTTTAGACCGTCGAATCAATATACACCCACACGTTTATTATCGGTAAGAGTGACATGAAAATCTTACACCTTAAAAATCATATTTTTTGACCGACCAATGTTGCTCTTTTATTTTTATTTTTATTTTTTTTTTTATATTTTTAGAGGTTTCATTGTAAATTGTAACAACAAATGTCATGTATGGACTAATGAACATGAAGAAGATGCACACGTTCAGTTTTTTGGACAACATTCTTTCACTTAAAAAACAAAATTTATCTGATTCTTATGAAAAAATGTGCCTTGAGCGAAATATCGACAACATCATCTCATTTGTAAGATTTAGAGAATCGGGACAAGAGGGTGTTGTCCCTCACAGATAAAGCGCACCATAATAGGATGGACCTAGGCGCGCTATAGTGAGGTTCCATCATAAAACCAATAGGTTGCTGGGAGGAGTAAGTAACCCACTAGGCTTATAAGTTAGGTCTATTTTCCCCGTATAAAGGAAGTTGGACAACTAACAAGATATGCTCCCTCACTTGTGAGTCCTCCATACAAAGCCTAAGACGAACTGGATATATGACGAGTACGTCATCGCACGGTCCAACCCCTTCAACGAATCCCAAGCTGAATTGGGCTTGAGGTCACATGCAGATAAAACGCACCATAAGAGAGTGGACCTAGGTGTACCATAGTGAGGTTCAATTCCAAAACTAATTGGTTGCTGGGAGGAATAACCCACTAAGCTTATAAGTTAGACATATTTTCCCTGTATAAAAGATGTGAGATAACTAACAAGTGATATTCTAATATCATTAGCATTGTTTTCTTTTGTTTAGATGAATCAGAACTAGCCATTATTAGACAATTAATGACATAAATCTCAATGGTACGTGATTTGTCTAACTTTGCAACATCATGATTGATTATTGATGCAGGATTATTATTATTATTATTATTATTATTATTATTATTATTATTATTATTATTATTATTATTATTATTATTATTATTATTATTATTATTATTATTAGCTTGGAAAATAAGCTAAGTTTAGGGTTAGAGCTTTA